TTATTATGCAACTTCCCCATAAACAAACACCCACCGAGTCTTCGACAAATAGCTCTTCTTGTGCTAGTATTCTTGCTAGAATTTGTAGATTTCCCTTTCATTTAATCTCAAAAATCACTCAAAAAATTTTAGGTCCTGTGAAGCGGATTCCACGTCGTTCTCAAAACCGGTCTCCTACTTGTGCTTTTAAAATAATATGGATAAGTGCTTTGTTGGTTGGCGAAATTTTGATTTTCTATTATGCCATGCAAAAATGTTCTTGGCCTTATAATCCACATTGGGTATATTGATATTTTTATTTTTTTTGTTTTTTTGGTATTATCGAGTTTTTTTTTTTTTTTGGGAATTTGCATAGACATTGCATAGATCTCTTAATTTAGCTTGTTTTAAAAAAATATCAGGATACTTCATTGGCCAATCCATTTAGAATTGCATTGATTGCTGACCCACAGATAATAGATAGTTATTCATATGGTCGTACGGGTATAATTCAAAGAATTTCCGAAATTTATCCTGACATGTATATGAGAAAAAATTGGATAAATTTACAAAATATTTTTGATCCGGATGCAATAATATTTTTGGGTGATTTAATGGATGGAGGAAGAGAATGGGATGATGATAAGTTCGTTTTTTTTTTAATTCTATATTGAATATTTAATGTTCATAAATCGAATGGCGTTAACTTTATTTTAATTATAGATGGGAGAATGAATTTTTCCGTTATCGGCATCTATTTTTACCAAAGAAACCGACAAGAACTCCAATTTATTATTTGGTAGGGAATCATGATATTGGATTCGGTGATAATATAATTCCCAATGCATATGAACGATTTCGAAAAGTATTTGGCAAGACCAATTATAATGTTGTGTTGGGTAATCATTCGATAGTGGTTGTTGACACTGTAACATTGAGTGGATCAGATGAATCTTTAAGGGAAGAAGCGATAAGCTTGATTGAAAGGCTTGAAAATGGTATTTATAAACAAGTAATTAAAAATTATTTTTTAGGTTATATAGGTCATGTATATTTTATCGTACCTTGAACTTTTTATAGATTCTTCAAATAATCTTCCTCGCATATTAATGACACACGTCCCTTTATATCGCCCACCAAATACCGATTGTGGGCCATTGCGACAAAATGGACATTATATTAACCAAGGCTCTGGTTACCAATATCAAAATATAGTGACTAAATCATTATCATATTTCATATTAGATAATATAAAACCAATACTTGTGTTCAGTGGTGACGATCATGATTATTGCGAAATTCGACATGAAAGAGATCCAGAAGCTATAGAGGTTTCGGTTAATAGTTTTAGTTTTGCTATGGTAAGTTATCGCATCAATCTTAATTTTAATGTATGAATATATTTTTGAGTTATTATTTTTGTACTTTCAGGGCGTTAAAAGACCAGGTTTTCTTTTATTAAGTCTTTATAATCCAGTGAATAGTACATCATCAGACGACATAAAAAATAATCAAGCCACATTCGCATATACGCAATGTTTACTACCAAATCAAATTCGAATATATTTGTGGTATGGGGTTCTAGTCATAACAACATTATCTTGTATATTTTCACATACATTTGTAAAAATTAGGAGGAGTACAGAAATGCTGCCAATATGGCTTAAATATCAACAAAAAGGGCGTTGGATATTATTTAATTTACAGTTTTGGAAGACAGTTGGAAGAGAGATTATAAGTATTGCATTTGTTGCTTTGGTAACGTATTTGATTTGTTGGATATGGTTTTTGCTTGGATAATACAGTAATATGACCCACATTTTTTTCAAATATCGAATCTTTTGGGGGTTCATTCGTCTAACGTTTTGGAACCACGTTTTGGAACCACGTCTAAACGACATATCTGAACAATCGCAATATATTATGTTCTTTTTAAATAAAAGATTACATATTGTGAATTATTATTTAGTACCATATCGCATATGATTCGGCTGATTCTAATTATTAGATTGATTTGTATGCGTACATTATAGGTTTATTTCACATTAATTCTCAATAAATTGTATGACTCATGTCATTACCAAATTTTAAGTTTCAACGGATTTACTTTATATATATGGTTATAATTTAAGATTCCATTATTTCGCGGAGACGACGAACTGTAGAACGGACTGTAGCTGCAGTAGTGGTCCTATGATTGAAAAATTGTTAACTTTATCATTGAATTCATTTATAAGAATTTAAATATGAATTTGAACGGAAACTCACGACACAGTCCATGCGCCGCCGGCCACGACTTTATTACATGCACGACATTTCCAAATACCTACAGCCTTCCTTTTAACTGTTTCCTATTTAACATTAGTAAATGTATTCGTTTAAAATTATATTGATTATGGTAAATAATAAATAATTGTTATCTCGCTCATAAATATATTACTTTGCCACAGAAAGTGCATGTATATTTTGAATGCTGAGTAATTTCCATTTTTTTGATTTGTTTTCTCAACGAGGCACCATAACGGGTACCATATTTGCCGACTACTCCGACCTATTAATGATGAATTTCCTCATATAAATTTCTCAATGCGATTCACTTAAACATATATAATTATATAAGTAGTGTGATAATTGACCTTTTTTGTGCGTTTGGCCTATAATAAAAATAAAAATGAGTAGATCAAATAAAAAAAATTTTAATATACGATGTTAACAAAAAGTCATCAGTGTTCAAAATCTAATGCTCTTAAAAAAAATTTTTCGAGAATTAAAAATTTAATATTGCATATATTTTTTTTTTTCTTATTATTGAAAACAAATTTTTTGCGAAAAAAAATTAAGCCTTAATGTTCTCATGTAGCAAAGAAATTTATTCAGTTTTCGAACACTGATCGTCTTAAATGATGGATTTAATTTTTAATAAACTTGTAAATTTACCATTTGGATGATCGGTAAACTTAAAAACGAACGATGATAAATTTTTTTTTAAAAGATGAAATTTTTTTATGTATTTTTTTTTTGACCAATCAGAATGTCGTTCACTGCGGCTTTTAACCTGCTACCCGTTATTCTTACCAAGTCGATCGTCATACCCGGAAATTTTTTATTATATATAATGCAAACGGTTAGTTCAATCGAAAAATGTTTTTAGCATTCTGTTCTTAGCGAGATATATATTTTCTTTTAATGCCTAAGCGGCCTACAAGTCCCATCGTGTCCTCTATGGCATCCCGACAAAGTACATTTGATTCATTCGCACAACCTATAACTGTCATCGAACATTCTGGTGACGAACTTCAATCAACAAAACGCACACGTCTCGATATCGGAAAGGATTTGATCTTTCCCTCACATAAGCCGATAACCGAAAAGCCAATTGGTGAACCACACAATGAAACAAAGATACCTATCAAAAAATTAGTAATTAGGACTTTAAAAGGTAAGTTTACGAATTAATTATTTCAAGTTCAATTTAATTTTTTTTTTATATTTTGATCAAGTATAAATTTTAATAAAAATATCAAAATTTGAATTTGTTCTTTAGATAAACCAAAATTACCTGATAATTTTGAAGAAGTTACATGGGCAAAGCTCCAAGCAGCTATTCGTGCAATTCATAATTATCAACCTGTTAATGATAGTCTTGAGGAACTCTATAAAGCATGTGAAAACCTTTGCTTGCACAAAATGGCCGACAGGCTTTATTCAAGGCTTCAAGAAGAATGCGAGTCACATCTTTTAAAAGAAAAAGAAAAACTTGATTGGTAAATATACGAATCCTAATTTAATATTATCAATCCATATATATATTTTTTGTTTTTCATTTGTATCAATTTCTGCCAAATCTAAAAAAACCAGCCATTTTCAAATGTATAGTGATAACTCTGATGATGAGGCTTTCCTTCAAGTAGTTGATCAATGTTGGCAAGCTCATTGTAAACAAATGGTAGCTTATTAAAATTTTATAATTCATTTTATTTTCGTAGTGTGACATTTAGATTGTTTGATTTATCGAATCTGGAAACTTTAGGGCTTAATTAGAAACATATTTTTATACCTCGATCGTACTTATGTACTTCAAACTCCTGGAATTTCTTCGATATGGTAATAATCAAATTTATATACATATATTTATATATATTTTATTATTAATATGAATAAAAATAATAGTTTTAAATTAATTTTAGGGATATGGGTATCGAATTATTTAGAAAACATATAATGTCATCTAGTGATGTACGGCAAAAGACTTTGAATGGATTACTTTCTCTGATTAAACGTGATAGGTAAGCTTCTAATTATATCTTTTTGAGTGGGTTAGTTAATAGCTATGAATTTACATTGACAAACATATATTATTAGGGATGGCGATGAAGTTAATAATAGCCTATTGCATTCCTTAATACACATGTATATTGACCTTTCCGTCTATTATAATCGGTTTGAAACTCCATTTTTGCAAGAAACTCGTAATTATTATTATCAAGAAGGACATCGACTTGTGACTGAGTACGCTGTGCCAAGGTATCTTGGGCATGTCAAGTCGCGATTGTATATGGAAGGGGAGCGAGTCAACAATTATTTAGACAAAAAAACAAGAGGTCCTTTGACGAAAGTTGTTTATGATGAATTGATCAAGAAACATGTTGAAACTATTCTGGAGAAAGGTAAAATAATTATTGTATGATAAACTGATTCGCGTAATATGTATATGTGTTAAATTCTTATTTAAATGATTGTATTAGGATTCGCTGACATGATGGAAGATGATAATGATAATGATGATAAGCATCTAAAAGAATTAAAACTTTTATATCAACTCCTATCAAAAGTAAATGCACTTGACCTTTTGCGCAAATATTTCGGAGATTACATTAAGGCAAGAAATTTAGAGTTATAAATTTTACGGTTTACTCTTAATTATTTTAATAATATTGATTTGTATAAATAGAAAACTGGCACAGCTCTTGTTAACGATCCAAGTCAAGAGCCGGCCATGGTCACCGAACTTCTTTATCTTAAGGCTAAAATGGATGAAATTGTTTCAGGAGCTTTTCAAGGAGACAATGCTTTCAACTACATGGTAAAAGAAAGCTTTGAAATGTTCATTAATCAACGTCAGAATAAACCTGCAGAGCTGATAGGTGAGTCAACGATAAACTCAGCTGCTAAAAAAAACTTTTTTTTTATGTACCTTTAATAATTACTTTATATTACCGGGTTATTTCAGCGAAATACGTGGACCAGACATTGCGACTTGGAAACAAGAGTATGGATGATACTGACATTGAAAAAACGTTGAATGAAGTGTTGGTTCTGTTCAGATATATTCAAGGTAATAATCATATGAACAATTACGTTTTATAATACATGCAATTTTTACTTACCATAATAAATATCTAGGCAAAGATATATTTGAAGCCTTTTATAAACGCGATCTTGCTAAACGTCTTTTACTAAACAAGAGTGCATCATTCGATTATGAGAAGAGCATGTTATCAAAATTAAGGAAAGGTTGCATTACCTTTTTTTTTTTTTTTTTGTTCCCATGTTATACAATTTTCTGCAGTATAAATGGGTAGGCTCTGCTTAAAATATCGGCGAATTATTCTACTTCGGTCCTGATGATCGACAGATCGGTATTTTGATCACGTGTACAGCAGAGACCAAAATTTAGTTTATTATAGGTGATCATTTTATGTCATTAGTATTAATTATCATTTACGACAACTTAATAGAGTGCGGTCCGGCCTTCACGAGTAAGCTAGAAGGAATGTTCAAGGACATTGACTTGTCAAAAGATTTTATGCAGTCTTTTGAAGTATGTATTCATTTAGTAATATTCATTGAATAGTTGTTATGGTTTTATAATACTGAAAGGAAACACATATATATTTTTTACTAAATTATTTTAGACTTCCAAGTCTGGAGAACTAATTAAGGAATACAAAATCGATTTATACGTTAATGTTTTGACACAGGGATTCTGGCCTTCATATCCTCCATCACCACTCAACATACCACCAAATGTTAGTGGCAAAATGATTTATATTTCATTCAGTTTGATTATATTATTATGAATTATTTATTGAAATATAGTCTTCAAAAGGTGGTACAATGTCAGAAGATTTTCAGGGATTTTTATCTTAGCAAGCATAATGGAAGAAATTTAAAGTGGCAAAATTCATTAGGCCATTGTATGTTGGCAGCAGAATTTCCGAAAGTGAGTTGTTAATAATCTTAGAATAGAATGTATTCAAGACCTTGATTACTTATTTATTTGTTACGTGTATTTATAGGGAAATAAGGAATTGGTAGTCAGCTTATCTCAAGGAGTGGTTTTACTACTATTTAATGATTTGCCACCAGGTGGAAGGCGGACTTACGATGAAATAAAAGAAATGTCTGGAATGGGTAAGAAATAGTTGATTATAAATTTTACGTGATAAATTACTATTTTAAATTGACTAATTTCATAATAACAGAACCCAAAGAGTTAAATCGTACGCTACAATCCTTGGCTTGTGGTAAAGTCAGAGTTCTTGTAAAGTATCCGAAAGGACGTGATATTTCCATGACAGATGAATTTTCAGTTAATGAAGAGTTTGAGGCCAAAATTTTCCGCATAAAAATTAATACTATACAGTTGAAAGAAACAGTACGTATTTTATTATAATAAATATTTCTTGATCGTTGCTAATTTTGAATGGATTACTATTTTACAGAAAGAGGAACACGAAATGACCACAGAGAGTGTTTTCATGGATCGTCAGCACCAAATAGATGCTGGATTGGTTCGTATAGCGAAGATGCGTAAGACTCTTTCTCATAATGAATTAATCACAGAGCTTTTGGGGATACTGAAATTTAAACCTCCGGTAAATATCATTTGTAATACATCAAGGCGTGAATTTCCTTAAATAACTAATATATATTTTTTAAAAATAGATGTCAGACATTAAAAAACGCATTGAATCATTGATAGACCGTGAATATTTAGAGAGAGATAAGAGTGATTCCACAAAATACAAGTACTTAGCTTAATTGGCTTTTATTATAGGATGAATCTAATTGCACAATCTGTTACACGTGTTATATGTAACAACTCCGGGTATTAGTCCGGAACCAATCAAAAAAGAAAATAAAAATAATAAAATTTAAAAAAATTAAATCTATTTGATAATGATTTGAATTTAATATAATAACAATAATAAAGCAAATTCTATATTTGTTTTTTAAAGAAATTAATAGTTTTTATCTTGATTTTTTTTATGAGGCATAGAAATTATAGAAAATCATGCCCGGAACTTCGATTTCTTCCTCAATTAGCTTTCTATGAAAGGTTTAAGAATGGGATCCTTTCGGGATCATAACCTGTCTTTTTAATCCTTTCTTGCCAGCTTTACCATCATCCATATATTATTTATTATAATTATTATTATTTTTTTTTTGGTGGGGAATTAGCCCTTGTTGTCATTGCACATAATCAGGTGCTTCCCTCTTCGATTCAAGTTTATTATTAAGAAGATTTAAAGAAATAAGAAATGTTCTTGCAAAGTGCTTCTGCTAATGCTTTTCATTCTCAGATCCAAGTACATTATCGTAAAATTTCAAGATAATATTTTTGTAAAGCGCATCAGCTAATGTCTTTCCCCCTTTTGGGCCAAGATAATTTACTATAAGATTTAATGAAGTCATAGGGGTGGTCTGGTAAAGTACATCAGTCAATGCTTTCCTTTTTTGGTTAGAGCTTATAAAGAAGTCAAGATGGTATCTTGCAAAGTACCCTTATTTATTCATTTATATTTTTTGAAAGATTTCAGTTTGAAGCATTTTTCTGATCTTCTGGTTATTCTTTAGAATTTCTTCACGAAGTTCTAACACTTTGAAATATATGCCTTCATTTAATATACTATTCTCTTGTATTGAAAAATTTGAGCTTGTTGAATAAGGCAGTACCAGATTTCACGTGAGTACAGGAGTATACAGAATTAATGGTATCTAGCAAATAAGTTGATAATGTCGCAATTTCAATGGTATAGAATAATCTATAATTTCTCGCTGGCAAGTACTGAAAAAATTAACTCTTCAATATTATCTCTAAATGTTCGCTTTTGTGCTTGTTTAAATATGAATGTAAATAAAATAATCATTGAAAAAGCTTCGTATTAGACATTTTTATCAAAGGGGTTTGCAAGTTAAAAACTATATTTCCAAATTTCTATGCAAATTACTATAAAATGGAGTTGAATGACAAGATACTAAAAATCCGATATTTTTAACATTCCCTTTACCAGCTCATCTCTTAAATAGTTCATAACCTTTATGACAACATTTTGATGAACTGTTGCAGCATAATATGCTACAGAAAAATTTGTAATTACCAAAAATATTATGGAAAATTTTAACCACACTGACTTTTTTGAACTTATTGAAGAGTTTGTTAAACGAAAATTTTTCGTGGCGGAAATTTCATCAATACCGATTCCAGAGATAATTACCAAAATAGGTAGTAAAGGATATATAAATCTAAATTCTTTATGGCCAAGTATACTATAACATAGCAGAACCCAAACACATAATTGCAAGAGGGGTTTGATACGATTCCAATATAGAGGATTTTGTCCTGCAGAGTAAATTCCAATTATGACGAATGGGATTAAGGTGGTTAATATAACTGGCAGCCCCTGAGAAAAGTACCAATGCCATGGATGGGCACCATAAAATAGTAGAAATTTCTGTATCACATGTGTATAATAGTGTAAAAAATGTCAATTCAACTATCATTATTAAGCTTTCATCTTAATGCTTATCCAATTTGTACGTATAACATGCTTAGTCTGTACGAAAACCTACGGCAATGATTGTTCTTGTCAACTGACAGATTCGCACTTGAAACGCAAAAGAAATTCTAGTCATAAATTAAACTTTCTTAATAAAAATATTACACGATCTGGCGCTAATAAAAAAAAGGTCAAATACAATCAAGACTTTGTTAATTGTCTCAGGAGAATTGCAACTCAAGTTGAGATTACAAAAAAATCAAGACTTTATTAATATTTGTCGAAGATGTATTGAGAAATATGAACAACAGCTTTTAGATAAATTTTTTATATTTTTGTATTGTTATTCTTATTTGCAATATCGATATAGCTTATATTTAATAAAAATTTTATTGGACAAAAAGAAAACCAGTATGAATTAGTGAACTAAGTGTTTGGCAATTGTTCGAACTGGGAAGCCTTCTAAAATTTTTCGACTATTTGCCAACGAATACGTTTTAAAAGTATCATTGACAGTAAAAGTATAACTTTAGCGTGTGGGATAATAAATAAAAGGCTATAAAAATCATAATTCCAGTGATTATTCGTATTTTGTATACATTCCAATAATTTCTATGATACGTACGAAAATTAGTCATGAAATTCAACTTTCCGGTATTTTTTTTACGTACGTACAATAACAGATAACAATAAGCTAATACAGTAATATTAATAATATCTACATTTGTTTAACGACTTATATTGTAACACCAAAATCTGTATTTGCTTTTGGAACATGTTTGATTTGGACATAGTCCATAAATGTCCATATTGCCCATATTCATATTTTGCAAACACCGTCTAAAATATATCAAAATCAAAAGCTTATGTACCCGAGATCAAAAGCTTATCGAATTCGGCCGAATTAATTTCGGTCAAATTTTTATCACTTGTCCCAGAATTTATGAGAACACCTGTAATGCAAAATTATCACTTTTTTAATATAGATTTGGTTGGATCGATGAATTCGGGGATTTTTTTTCGTCCGTGATCCCATGTATATTTTGAATTTTACATGTCAAACGTGATCGTACTGGCATTACATGTTGTGCTTATGTTAATTTTGCATTTGAATAATTGTATAGAGATGTTTATTGTCTAATCATATACTTTATAGGAACGATCTGCTGCATGCCGAAGAAAAATAGATGAGTTGTTTTTAGTAATTTCATAGTATTTATTTATAAAATTTTTTTTTTTGAAGTAATGTAAATTTTAAAGTAATAATAATAATCAATGGCAATGAATCAATAAAATTTTCTGATTTATTATAGCAGTTTGCAAAAAGGTGACCTCTGCAGATCATAATGTCATGTAAAATCACGAGAAATCAGTCGATTCTAGTAGATTTTTCGATTCTTAGAGAATTTAAAAATTCCGAATAAACTATAGACGTTATTGATCGAAAATTATGATCAATGGGGAATTAAAATCTCGGAAATTTTCCGCTATCATCATCACGATATCACAGGGTCGCAACTTTTTACAAACCGCTATAACTATTTTTGTAATTGAAAAGGTTAATAAATTTTTTTTACGATGGTTTTCCATTTTAGCAATTTCGGCATCATTCACGAAATCTGCGCCAGGTTATGCATGTTGCAGATCGTCATGTAACAATTTAAGTGATGAAAAGTTTCAAACTTCGAACGAAAATATCTCAATAACTACTTATCTAAAAATTGATACAGGTTTTTTTAATTAAAATAAAAAAATAACATTTATAAGTAGGTAGTTATCGAGTTATCATCGCTCAAAATTCAAAAAATATTTGGACGATTATCAAAACAGACTACGGTTAAGTTTTTCCACTTCAAAAATTTTTTATGATTCATAGAATTAATATAAAAAATCTAACAATTTTAAATATTGAGTTATTTTCGTACAAAGTTTGAAAATTTTCACTTAAATTGTTACATGATTATCGACAACATGCATAACCTGGCACAGATTTCGTAAATGCTATACAATATATAGTTATTGGATGCGAAGCATCCAATAACAGTTTTATTTGGCAGGAGAAATGAGAATACCGTGATCCGCAG